TCAGCAGACCGAGCACAGGGTTGTGAATGAGCCCGCTGTGTTGTGGTGTCGGAGGCCACGCTTGTCTGCTGAGAATGATGGCGGGCTGCCAAAGCCTGAAGCCGGCCTGCTGGGCTCACTAAAGCTGTCATAACTGTATTTCCAGCCGCCCTGAACACTGTGCAGGCGCTGAGGCCAAAACAAACGTTTGGCTCCATCTCGCCAGAATGTCACTGTTCAGTTATTCACTGAAACTGTTGGATGTGGTTGTGAGAGTGAGCAGCAAAACTCCTTTTACCCACCATTCAAAACTGTGAAACAAGCTGATAACTAACATCGCAAGAGGATGGAGGAAGGCGGCATTTCTGGCAACATTACACAGAGAAAACAAACACATCAAGCACATCCAGTCTGAGCAGGTTGAGTTCTGCAGTGCATCACCATTTAACTTTGCTAACAAATAGTTAAAGCACCTGCGCACATGATTGATTACCTTTAACTAGAGAAAGACTGTGGAGCAATTAATGGAAACCAACAGTTGCCCTGAAAGGTAGGAAAACATTTTCAAAAATTAAAAACACTATCACCTCATCAGGTCACCTGTAATTTCATTCCATGAAGTTATTTTTACTCACTGCAACTGGCAAAGAAATCTACCGCTGTACGTACATACATTCTTCCAGCTGCAGGTTTCCTCAAAAATAAATTAAGCTTTCATACTTTTCCTATCAACTCTGAGGAAACGTCTGAGGAAATGTCTGCTACTGCTAAAGTTACTGTTCTTGTTTTGCTGTTAATGCAGTAAAGCATTTGTGACAGCGTTCGCACCATGAAAAACACAGGTATAGCCCTTTAAAAGCTTTGCTACAGAGCATTTCCAAAAATATTTCCCAGCTGCTGCGGCATCGTTTGAACCTGCAACCTTCTGGCTTCTAACAGTTCAGTTACACACAGACCACAGCGGCAACAAGAGCCTCAGGGGCCACAGCGCACACTCACACACATTCATCCACTCTCCACATCACTCTACACACACTCCTCCTCTCCCCCGTCCAGCTCTCCCAGTGGTGGCTGCTGATATAAATCACAGTGGAGGGATAAGGTGGTGGGGGGGCGGCGAGCGAGCGGAGCCCAGCTTTTCCATTGGTCCATTCATCAGGGGAAGTGGCACATTAATAAACACATCTCCCCAGAGGTGAAAGGAAGTAACAGAGATGAATACGGCTGCCAGACCTGAACGGCTTCGTCTGATAACAAAAAAACACACCTGCCCCCACCCCCCGACAACCTGAGCTACATCTCAATTTTAGCTGGTTAAATGTCCAAATTAGCATCCCATGACACCAGCCCCCCAAATGGTAATGTCTTTGGTAATAAACCTCCCGAGCTGAGACATCCCCCGAGGAACCAGCGCTGATGTCTTTCTCTTCTGTGGATTTGTTGTATCATGATTCAAATTCCATGTGTCTCGGGATAAAGACGTCTCCCCTCCTCCTCAGGTCTCAAAGCACCAATTTCCAAACAGATAACATATGTTGGAGATTTGTACTGGGGGACATACTTAGAAACAACCTCTGAGCCCCCGTCATTAAGGACAGCAGTGAAAGCAAACAAAGCAGAATTAATCGGTTGGCGAGATGATACGCTGAGCTCCTCACCGCTGTAGGAAGAAGCTGAACGTCAGACCAGGTCTTTCACTGAGTCTGTGAAAGGAAGTGAAGGTTTGATCCATGCCAGATGTGGCTTGGCTCCTGCCAAGCGGTTTCTTTGTAAAGTGATCAGCAAAGATTGTCTTAATGTTGAGAGTGGCAGCCTGAGGGAGCGTGTCCTCAGACTGACTGGGTGGACAAACCATCAATGTTTGTCTTAGCAGTTCTTCAAGGTGCCCACTAAAAGTGAACTGTGTGTATCAGTAAGGCCTAATGAACATGCTCAGTGCTTCCTTATGAAAGCTTAGCAGCGCCAGCAGTTAACGGTCATCCTCTTCTTCACTGCCTCTTGTTGGGGCATTGTTATGTTTCTTGGCACCTTACTGCCACCAACTGTTGAATAGTGGAACTGCTCCTCTTTCTTTCATTTGACAGACAAAGACAGTCTTTTACATAAACACTGGTTCTTCACCATCCCATTTAGCAGTTTATGTGCAGAACAAACTAGCAACTGATCAGATCTTTCCGGTGGAGGGAAGATATGCTAAAAACATTAGCTATCTTAGAAATATGAATCACAGGTGCCCAAAACATGAATCCATGGGTGTTTCACTTGCTTTTGTCTTTTCCTTGACTTTTACAAAGATGCCTAGAAAGATTGTGAGGAGAGAGGACTCGAGGAAACGTGTTATTAAAACGACACGCCCTTTCCTGCTGTCATTCATCTGAAGTGTCCGATCAACGGGACGTGTCAGTTCATAAAACACTTTCACGAAGGATGGTCTCATGTATCCGAGTTCAAAAGTAGTTTACTGTCTTCACAGAAAAGTAACACTTGTGATAATACATGTAATATTTCAGTTATTTAAGCAAAAAAACTTCTCCAATGTGAGGATTTGCTTTTTTCTCAGTTTTAAATCTTTGTAAATCGAATATTTTGGATTGTTGGTGGTAAAAACAAACATCTGACGACATCACGTTGGAGAAATTCAGACTAACTAAACGGACAGGACGTTTGAAGCCATTAAATGTTTTATTGTTGCTGTTTGTAGGCATATTTAAATTCCACCAGCGGAGATCGATCAGATTGCTCTGCATATATTTCCTTGCAGTTGAAATCAATTCTCTGTAAATTGCCCTCATTTAATATGGTGAAGTACAACCCAGACAGGGTGATGTTTATCTGGAGTAATTGCAGGGAATTATTGTGGAAAGATTGATTAGTTATGTCTGAATCTTAATGGGGTCGCCACATGTGGGCAGATGTCACAGCTGCACAGCTCCACTGGTTTTCACACACACATTTTTGGACCAAAGACTCACGCTGTGAAACCTAATGACAAGAACTTTGGTGTATTGTCTTTCCCAAGGAGGACTTAAAACATAGAACAGCTTGAAATGTGGAATTGGTTGGTTTTTTTACTTGATGGCGATTTGAGCCCCTCAAATGTTCTTTCTGTGGACTTCCTGCTGCTGTCTGTGCACATCATGCCTTCGTGAGGCTTGGGTTTACTCAGTAATATCCTCTGCCAGGCTCAGTTTCCATCATTGTGAACAAATTTACTGTATTAGCTGTGAATCAATCTTGAGCACTTATTGATAGGGTTCTTCTGTGTCCATGGGGTGCGAGTGTCGCTGAGAGTCTGTGGCGGCATCAATCACACTGGGCCCATCCGGAGCAAGCAAGCACTTTAACGCCTCCATCCTGAAATAGCACGAGCACGCAAAACGGGCTGACATTAAGGAAGACGACCCAGTGATGAGGCGAGGACTGACTCCTTAGATTTCAGGAATCATTCTTCTAGATTGAGAGTGTTTAGAGTCTCACAGGTGGAGCAGAGAGGAAGGGATGTGGGGTTGGGATCGAGGATGCGGAGCATTCATCAGCTGTCTGAGGAGACCTTTGTAGCTTTTTGAAATCATACAATTCAAACTTAAAATCAACATTGTAATTTTAGGTGATTTTTACAGTTACATATATCATTAACATTAGCTCTGATACAAGCAACAGCAACAGTTATAGGCACAGATGAAATATTTCAGAAACTACTGAGTCTTTGACAAACTACTCTGGGTTACATGCTTGGATCAGAGTGAAGCTGCTGGATGGACATCTGTTAAATTCGGTGCCTCAGTCTGACAGACTGTTTGATTTTACTGACACTTTATCCACACTTATGGGGGTTAGCTGAGAACCAGGGTCTGTGTTTTTAATTCACTGCACCTTTTCTAATACAGTTAAAATTGTTTCTGTACCAAATATATTTTGCTATGTCCCTGTTAAAAAAATAAATAAATACTGTTTTTAAAAATACAATAACTTGTTGTATCCTCTGACATCTCATCTAGGTTTCAAGGTACTGATCTATAACCTTAAAGAAAAAGTCACTGATGTGAAATGCCCTCAGCACTGTACTGCTGTAAACATTTGCCGTTTCTTTAATAGACACAAATCTGGAAATGCATCATTGTAGATCTCTGAGCATTCATGGAAAATGTTTGCAGCAGCTCTCATGAAAACCACAAACTAAACAGTGTAGTTTAACATGACTGTGTTTGTATTCTGATATTTGCTGCAAACGGTAGACTTGTGCAGAAACAGAAAAGGCAAAATGAAGATGACCAACCACAACTGAAATCCACAAACTCTGAGCGCCTCCTGCTGTTGCTGCTCTACAGAAGCATTGTCCACCCCCGACATGTTAACCATGTCCGGCAACTGATCAGAATCACACGTTCTGTTTCCAAGATCATCTGCCTCCCTGCCCCGACCTCTCAGATATGAGCAACAGAGCATCATGCACCTTGAACTGGCAATAACAAATGACACCACACACCCTCTGAGTCCACACTTCAGTGTTACTGTCAGGTCTCAGATATAGGGCCGCAAGAAGTCCAAGACTACATCTCTGACACATGTATATGATCTGAGTGTGGGTCTAGGACAGAACGTGGATATTCAATGTCTTTATCTGTTGACCCACCTGTCTGTCTCAGTGTCACGGTTCTCCAGCCCCAGACTGACACCCAGGCTGAGCAGGAAGAGGGCGCTGTCGATCTCACCGCTGTCTGACGCCAGCATCGACCTCCAGACAATGATCCGCACCTCACCAAACTCCCTTGTGGCGTACATCAACAGCTCCCGCTCCAGCTCGGCCGCCAGCAGCTCCTACGGTCACCTGTCAGTCGGAGGACTCAGGTGAATCACCTGAAGACATGACCCAAACACAGTGGTCGTTGGCTGTTTTCCAGCTTTGCGTTTCCTTCTTATTCTTGCTCTTATTCCTTTTATTATTGCTTCCTCTTTTCCCTTCCTACCTTAATCCTTTATTTCCCAACCTCCCATTTCCTCCTTTCACTCCCCTTTATTTTCCCATATGTCTTATGCTACTTAGACACATTTCCTTTTCTACATCCTCATTTGCTTTTTCACTTCTTTCCTTCCCTACCCCCTTGTTTCTTTCCTATATTCCATCCCTGCCTTCTATTTTTTCTTAATTCACGATTTTCTTCCTGTTTTTTACTACATCCTAATTTGTTGCCTACTTCCTTACTACCTCATTTCCATTTCCTTGTGCTCCTTTTGCCCCCTACTTTTTAACTTCTTTCCTAAGCTTTTAATTCTGACCTACTCTACCTCCTTATGTTCCTCACTTCCTTCTCTAGTTCCTTCTTTTTATCTCTGCCTCATCAATTTTCCCCATTCCCAGGAAAACCAGCAGGGCCACTGTAAATATGATCATCATGTCAGTTTTTTCCCTTGCTCCCTGCAGCCCATCTTTCCCTTTACCGTATCCCATCAACCCCATGGCCTATCAGCAGCTCCTCTCCCAGCAGCGGGGGCTCAGCACCTTTGGCCACACTCCGCCTCTCATCCAGCCTCCACCCACCTTCTCCAGCCGCCAGTCTGGCCTCGGCCTGTCCCCTCTGCCTGGCTCCACCCACAGCAGTGACCTGGCATCTAAGGTGAAAAGACATGACAATTTTGTTTGTATTCCTGTCATGAAAAGCAACAAAAAGTGTGCTGACTTCTCTGTATCTTGAAAGAAAATAACTGAAAATACCTGATACAAACTGCAATAATCCGACTGCACGGATTTACAGATAGCACTGATACAGAAGGGAAATCCAGTCCTCCTGGCTGGGTTTCTCCTGTTGCTCGAGCTTTTAAGAGTTAATGCTCATGCGGGAGAGAGGTTTTAAATACTTGATGCACTGGGGATGATTCAGATTCTGACTGGAATGATTTCTTTGTGGATTTCGGCTGAAGGAAATTCCCCATTTTGCGTCGGCTGCTGAATCACCCATTAAGACAAACTTGGAATTTTGCTGCTCCAGTTTCCAACTGTTTGTTCTCACAGTGGATTTTGTTTTCTGCCGATGCCTTTTGATGTCAGTGGGTCACAGCGTACCACTGTTATGATCTGTGGTGTCGACCTCAGCGGTGTGCAGTGGCTCCTCAGAGGTAAACTCGGGGGTCACAGCTGGGAGTGAGACCCATCATCCTGAGGTTTTGCTCTCTTATCCTGTCAGATAGTAGTGTAAATCTGTGGCTCAACCTGAAATTACTCAACCCTTTTTGTCGCGGCAGCATTTTGAGACAGTGATCCATGCATTTATTACATCTTGTATGGATTACTGTATGCACTGTACGCTGGAGTTAGTCAATTGGGTTTTGCCCGCCTCCAGAGGGTCCAGAATGCTGCTGCTCGGTTATTGGTTGGGGGGCATAAGAGGGACCACATAACGCCAGTGCTGGCATCTCTCCATTGGCTTCCGGTGCGTTTTAGGGTTCGTTTTAAGATTCTTTTATTTGTTTATAAGTCCCTAAATAGGCTGGCACCATCCTATCTCGTGGAACTTTTGCGTCCATATAATCCGTCACAGTGCCTTAGATCAGCTGATCAGCTTCTTCTGGAGGCACCGAGGGCTAGGTGTAAAACTAGGGGGGATAGAGCCTTCGCTGTGGTGGGTCCAAACCTGTGGAATGCTTTGCCTCTTTATATTAGGCAAGCCCCCTCGTTGTCTATTTTTAAGTCTTATTTGAAGACCTACTTGTATTCACTGGCATTTGGCCAGGAATGAGACTCTGTCTGTAGTGTTAGAGTGTTTGTTTTATTCTTTATAGTTTTTTATAAGATGATTTTAGATTTGTATGGTATGTTAAGCACTTTGGTCAGCTGTGTTGTGGGAAAGTGCTATATAAATAAAGTTGAGTTGAGAGAGAGAGAGTTGAGATGTGTGTCAAAGGTCAACGAGGGCATGGGAAGGTGGAGTCGGTTCATTGATCTGTTTCATAACGGCTGTGGCTGCTAGTATTACAGTGCACATGACAGATATTTTCACGTTTGAAAAGATACTGCAAAAATCTAAATTTTTTTTATTGAAAATTATTTTTGAGGGGCCATTTTTGTTATTAACTGATATTATAATAAGTTATTCTGTTAGATCGAACAATTTTGAAACTCAATGTTCTTTTCTCTCCTTAGCACCCCGGTGGCGACTCGGCCGTGAGCAGCACAGTCAACCCCATGATCACCAAAAGGTCAAAGGTCAAGAGTGAAGGGGAGGGACTGAGGCCGTCTCCTCCTTGTTCACCGGTATGAAAATAAAAATCGGCTTTCCACATCCCATTTCTGCGGCGTTATTAATGCAGATTTTCTGCTATTAGCAGGAACATTATCAAAAGTGAGGCGGAAAGTCAGGGCAATTCTGTAAAGTGGGGACAATACAGTCATTAATAGACACTGTTGGCATTTGCAAGTCATGAGCTCCTGCACGTCTTTTTCTGCTGTTTCATTTGTGTCCTGATCCGTGGCGAGACTTGTGGCCCCAGGGAACCGCGGCCTCCTGTGACTCCCTTGTAAAACACATCTCAGATAAAGAAAAACTCCACATGATAAGAGCTTTGTATCCATTCGTTTGGCCGCTCCTGCTCCCCCCTCTCCCCCTCTCTCCCCGGCCACTGTAAACTGTGCCAGAGCACTTCATTTTCATGAAATATTGGCCGGGCTTTATTGTCATCTGAGGAGCCTTTTTCTCTTTCTTTGACAAATCTGCAGCTCCTCTCCGATAGCGAGGCAGGTTTGGGCTTGATGCATGGGGATGGCGGTGTGCACAATCGTCTTGGGGCCACCAGAATTGATGAAGATAGCGTGCGTGGGGCAGAGACAAACATGCTGCAGTCAGCATGTTGTGTGTGTGAGAGTGTTTGTGTGTGCGTGTGTGTGCTGGTGGAGGCGTACAGAAAGCCAGGAGGGACAAGCTGTGTGTCAGTTTCTGTCCTACACGTGCATGTGTGCTCTTGCACATTGGTGTTTGTGAGGACAATGTGAGCGTTAGACACAGAATGTGAGAATGTTTCGGAAAGTGACGACTGGCTTGGAAAGTTCTGGAAGGGCGGGGGCGCGTTGCCTCACTTACACAAACATCTTGAATAATTTGTAAATTATTAAGTGTTAAGACATTTTTGGAAACAAAGCACATGTTTAAAAGTGAGGACATTTATAGAAAGTCAGGATGAAATTATGTAGTGTGAGAATGTAGATATGTAAACTGATGACTTTTTTAGAAACTATTTTTCAACATAAACATGTTTTTCAAAGATGAGTGAGTACATTTAAAGTGGAAGGACATCCTCTGGAGTTTTCTGGAGAGTGAGGGCCATTTTAGAAACCTGAGACATTTCTCTGGCAGTGTCAAACATTTGGTTAAGTGACATTTTATTTTTGAAATTGAAAAAAAAAACATATTTCGAGTAGTTAATGTTTTTAGAAAGTTGGGCAAAGTTAGGGATTTTTTAAAAATAGCATTTAGGATTTTCCAGCGTTTTTGGGAAAGTGATGATTTGTCTGTTTGAGGGTTACAACCTGAACATAATTAGGTTCAGGTTAAAGTTTGTGGAAAGCATTACGTGACTGAGAGTCCTCACTAGCAAAGAAGTACTTGTCAGAAAAACAAAATCTACCTTCAACATGTTGCAGAGCACAGCTTTTTGTACTTTATAGACTGAAGCAGATCTGAAGAGCAGAACTGTCGCCACCTGTTGAAATGGAGTCTCACACAAACAGAAACACAAAGTTCATGCAGTGAGCAGTGTGTTTGTTCCTGTATGTTCACTCTGCCTAATTAAAAGTTGAACCAGGAGTCATTTGTGTGTGTTTGTGGTGGAGGCTGTCAAAACAAATCTGATTCCAACCTCTTTAACTTCAGTGAAACATGATGGAACTGTATGTGCTTAAATCCCTAATTTACTGTCTCTGGTGCTCATATCAGGTAAAACAGAGGAGCAAACAGCTGAGGACGACTCCTGACAGCTGTATTTTTAGCTGTAAACGGTTCCACATGTTGCAAACGCCCTTAGAGAAGGAAGAGTGAATGTAGGCCAGTGGGGAAAATAAAAAAATACTGAGAAAAGCTCCTATGATTCAGTTCAGTGTGACTACTTCAACACATGCCCTCTCTGCACAGAACCATCATGGCAACTCTTTGGACCTGAAGGATGACATGGACCGGGATGAATGTAAGCAGGAACCTGAGGCCGTTTACGAGACCAACTGCCACTGGGAGGGCTGCAACAACGAGTACGACACGCAGGACCAGCTGGTCCATGTAAGTGTGGGTTTGTCTGACGTTCTGCAAACACCTCTCTGCAAATCTGCTTAAATTTCACTGGATGCTCATGACTGTCTCACAACTGCAGGGACGGCCGTGCGCAGCTGAAGGTTTAGTGTACATAGTAAAACACACACAAAATGAATGTCACTAGAAGAGAACTACATGAATGTTTGCCAAGGGGCGCCCGTACTACTTGGCACAAACAGCACTGCTGGGCCACTCGCTGGACTATCAGTCATTTTCACAACATTAAGCAGCTCTGCAACATGTATCAGGTGTTGGATCACCTGTGCTCACATCTCAACATCTACGACTCAGCATCATTTCATACTTACAGTAGAAATTGTACTCTTTATATTTTTGTTTTTCCCTTTACAAAATACAGCATCCAATGCATCAATCGTGCAGTAGGTCTGCATTAGCATTAGGAAAGAATTTGGATGTTTTACAACTTGATAATTATGCACAGTCTTTTGTATACTGTCTGTGTTGATCTACAGTAGCGGGAAGGTTTCGAAAGCCTCACTGTAATCTCATAAAGATCTTTAAGATCAAAAATCAAGGACCTTTGTTGGATTGCCATATTTGTTGTGTATGCAAATTTACCTGCTTTTTGGCAAAGTAAGTAAAGATCCATTTACAGGCCTTTTCTGGAGTTTAAAAATCTTATTTGGCATCAGCAGAGAAGTGGACAGACTGTCCTTTTAGAACAAACACCTGAATACAGATAAGAAAACAGCCTTTGAATTCTCTGTTTATACAGACTTTCTGCAGATGCTTGTTTTCAGTTTTCCTCTTTTTGATGATCTGAGCTCCAAACCATCATCAGTTTCATCACAACAGGCAGATTCTTGGTGAAAAAGTTCTTAGACATTCCACGCTTCCACTGAAGCCAAGCGAGAATAAAGGGGGCAGGGCAAGGGGATTAGTGATGGTCTGGGGGCCGTCAGGGGCCCACTGTGTCCGTCATTCATTAAACTCAAATTCTGCTTTCTCACATAAGCCAGTCTGCTGCCGCCGCCTCATCACTGTGACTGTTTACAAGCTTTTAAAGCTATGTGCAGCATTTTTAAACATCAGTGTTTCATTGTCGACATGATTGTGATACTTTGATGTGATTCTTGTAAACAAATGAAACTGTGGTCGAGATAATTGTCAGCAGCATTGGTACAACGCTGTTCTATTGTTTCCTTCTAATTATGGCCACATTTCTCATAAGCTCCAGTATTTCTTCCCTGTTCCTGGCAGAACTCCACTGGGTTTCTCTTAGATTTACTGGAAACCCAGGAATATTTAAAACTGTTTGCTCTGGAAGAGCAGTTTCCTCTTTCTATGGCCATAAAGTGATTTGTTTATAGATGTGCTTCTCAAACTTTGGGGCATGCAAAACTCATAGAAAAACCTAATTTCATTTAGCAGTGCAGACTGTATGCAGCTTCCTTAAGCCTGGGCCTCACCATGAGGGGTTTCACTCTCAAACCCGACTTTCATGTGATATAAAGAATCTTAATCAGTGTGACGAACACTCCTTTGAGATTTACACTTATAAGATGGATTTCAACAGCACAGTCTTGCTGAGAGCCTCTAAGTGGACATCTCTTTCCAGAAACACACTCATTTCTCTCTGCTTGTGTGTGTGTGTGTGTGTGTCCCAGCACATCAATAATGACCACATCCATGGAGAGAAGAAGGAGTTTGTGTGCCGCTGGGAGGACTGTTCGCGGGAGCAGAAGCCCTTCAAAGCTCAGTACATGCTGGTGGTTCACATGCGCCGACACACAGGGGAGAAACCACACAAGTGCACGGTGGGTAACGGATGGCCTCAATGCCCCCACGGGCCCCAAACGGGCCTCCAGAGGGTGACAGCCCACTGTCTTTAAACACTGCACGCATTTCTGTACACCCCCACACACATACAGTACATGTACACAACTGAGCAGATACTGTTGGTTTGGAACACACAAATACACACCCCTGTGTTGGCGGACTAAAGATCTCTTTCTTCTTGTAATCACTGCTGCAACACATGAATCTGAGCAGTTTTCTTTGTGAAATTTATGTGATAACGAAAAGAACTGCAGACCAGGATGGAATACAAACACTACTGCATATTTTAACTGAATTGCTTTGGCTGCAAATTATTTTTTTATCACAGAAAAATCTGAAGATTATTTTATGCATTAAAAGATTATTCATTCGTCTACAAAAAAATTTCCATTACACTTTACCAGAGCCCAGCGACTGTCTCGCTGACAGTCCAGACCCCAAAGATATTAACTTTTCAATGTCATGAAGTTGATATAAGCTGCAAATTCTACACTTTTCAAAACCTGAAAACAAAAAATATTTCCAGTTTCAACAGTCTTTTTTTCCAATCAGCTAAAGCTAAAAAAAAACCCCACTAGTGACAAAATCCAAATAAAACCAAGTGAATTTCTACAAATTTTCTAAGTGCATCACTTAAACAGCCATACATACATATGCACTACTGAGCCTTAACATTATGACCACTAACACGTGAAGTGAATCACACTGATCAGCTCATTACAGTGGCACCTGTCAGTATATTAGGCAGCAAAGCTGATGTGTTAGAAGCAGAAAAAACAGGTAGCGTAAGGATCTGAGCGACTTTGAGAAGGGCCAAACTGTGACTGCTAACTGGGTCAGAGCATCTCCCACACTGGTCCTGTTGGGTGTTCCTGGTCTAAGGAAGCACAGACAGTGAACCCGCAACAGGGTCATGGGCACCCAAGGCTCACTGATGTTGAGGTTGGATCTAGCATGAAGAAAGAAAGTCACTTTTGGCTTTTCCCATTTAGGGGTCGCCACAGTGAATCGTCACACTGATGACTCGCATGTTGACATTTGGCACGTGTTTTACACCAGACGCCCTTCCTGATGTAACACTGATTCGAACCCAGGCCGCAGTGGTGAGAGCGCTGCGCCTTCTAAAATTTTAAAATTCATCTGAACTTTTTAAAAGATTAAAATTAGTTTGGATCTTTGTTAAAATGGGTGAAAATGAGAAATACTGTACGTTGGTCTCTATGAAGAGAAACAGTGGTGATATCACACCAAGAGCTGCTTGTCCGTTACTCTAACTTGTCCTCACCACCACAGTTTTCACTCCTTGTACACATTTTTCACTGAATGGTCGATGCAGTTGAGCTCTTCCTGACAGTAGAACTGTAAAACAGATTCGGAGAAGATGCACAGTGCAGAGCGACACGAGTGCCAACCAACTGCTGCGCTAACGCCTGTGTGCACAGTATTAGGCAGGTGGTCGTAATGTTACGGCTGATTGGTGTAGTTGTGTATTCGTGGGCTGCTTTTTATCAGGGTCTTGTTCATGACACAAACAAAAAACTAACATGTAGATGCATCCTTTAAAATAAGGACTATGTAGAGGGACTGTATGGAGTGTTTTGATCTAATAAACCTGTTGTTAATTGGTCAGGTCCAAAAATCATCATAGTGGCATTCAGATAGTTTGTCTGCACAGTGATCCACTTAGAATTTAACAAATAAAAGCAACGTATCAATGAGGCTGCTCCCATCACAGACTGACACCACCTGTTTTCATTTTGATTCCTCTGTAGTTTGAGGGCTGCTCCAAGGCCTACTCCCGCCTGGAGAATCTCAAAACCCATCTGCGGTCCCACACCGGCGAGAAACCATACGTCTGCGAGCACGAAGGATGCAACAAAGCCTTCTCCAACGCCTCGGACCGAGCCAAACACCAGAACCGGACGCACTCCAATGAGGTACAGGAAACCATTCACCTCTCCTCCAATGGCCTGAGCTGCACAACATCACACAGACTCCCTGATAAGAAATTCTCTCAGAGATCTGTGCCGGCACATTGAAGTGACCAAGATGAAAACCTGCAGAGAGTTACAGGAGTTCACCTTCATCAGCAGTGAACTCTGGCCCAAATTTCCTTCCCAGAGACATAATTAGATTTTAGGCAGCACAGGAGGATTGTTCCTGTCTGCACGTTCGCCTCCGTACAGGTGTCGACAATCGTGCTTGTGTGTTGCCTCAGCACCCCTGTGTATGTCTGCAGACGTTTGAGAGTAAATAATGAGGTGTAGACATAATGAGCACAACAGCCCACAATGCATTAGGGCGAATCATGCTCACCGCCTCCCCTTCGCCCCGCAGAGAGCGACCACCTGCAGACGGCGAAGAGAAAATGAAACCTGGAAGCGTTTCAGTAACCTCGCTCCATCAGTGGGACTGCAGAGTGGGAATTCACTGCAATAACCCACACACACTGAGGCTTCTATACCACACACACACACACACACACACACACACACACACACACACACAGACACACACGCACACACGGGGGAGGGGTGGAAATACA